GGACCTCTTAAAAAACATCATGTAATGTGTGTCAGACGTTGGACCCTCCTAAAATGCAATGACGGCTTTTAGTGTGAATTTCTCTCCTTGAAGTTGCAGAGTAGATGGGAATTCACTCAGAGAAAACTGTTTTGGATTGGATTGCTTCTGAGTTGTGGTACAGCTTTTCTCAAGGTCTGTTTCAAACCAGCCAAGTTCTCTCAAGCTGTTCTCCCAACTACCCCTGCACAGAGCATTTTTCCCTGACATGTATGTTTTAAATACTGTTAGAAATTATCTTTAAAATGATAATGGCACAAACGAAAATATATTGAATACGGTTATGAATGTTATTGCATTAACCCAACAGATTTTGTTTACTTACAGTTTGATATTGGCTTCAGTTTGTGTTGTTTAGCTGTAAAATGTTCCAGTTGCACTTTCTGAAATATTAAGTCGTTCACATCAGCACAGTTTTCTCAGCAAAACTCTTAGAATCACAAATTGTTTTTTGATCACTAAAGTGATCATTTGTCCATGTAATCCTCCCATTCTCCTCACACTGACTGTTCTCTGCAAGAATAGCAGACTTCATTTTTCCTTGATTTAAAAGAACCTGCTGCTGCTTTCATTTGCAGAGTAAAGCATCTTTTTTGTGGTTTGTAGAAGTCTGTTTGATCCATAATCTGCTAAATAAGTTTTGCTGACTTCTCAGGACCCCACTCTGGTATGCAGTCTTTTGAAGTAGCCATTTTTTAGTTGCGTCCAAATGTCAAAATATGCACAACAGACTAAAAACGACGGAAAGCTTTGAAAACATGAATTGATTCACAGTATTGACTCAAATTTGTGTTACGGCAAATTTAAAAGGTGCTTTGACATCTGAAAGTGCTTCAGCAGATTATACTGAAGCAGCAAATGAATGGGTATTAGCGTTCCTGCTGTGCCCAAAGCCATGGCAACAACAACAAAAGCTGCAGGCCGGTGAACACTTGCAAACTGCTTACACTGAAATTTTACATTGACTAACGAAAGCGATTGGAAAGGTTTTCTTTGATCTCCATTCCACTGGAGTTAAAACAACCTGGAACTTTTTAAAAAGCAAAGCAGGTAAAGACTGAGGAGATTGCTCTCACCATAAGAGATCTAAATAGTTTCAGTGACTAGTTGTCTAACACCTATGAAAACCAAAAACATTATACATGTTTTTTTTTTTTTTGTCTCTTTTCCTACACAAATCTGCTGGAGCCTGCCTTTTGAGTTGTTTTCATGTCATATTCACCCTTTAAATGTGCTTTCATAGTCATGTGATATTCATTGCATATTTTCTCATTTAAAATATATTTACAGGACATAGTCATTCCACTAGTGTGTGTGTCAGTAGCATGTCAGTCTCCATCATAGTTTTTTTAATTTTTTTTATTTTTTATCCTTTACATGATTGTATACATATTTTGTTTCTTCTTTTTATAAAACAATTTACAGAGCAAATATATTTTTTGGGCTTCCAGCTCTTAAAACCCACAAAAACAGGAATTCAAAACTTTAGAATACACTGATCATCATTTATTTATTTATTATTCATTTGTTTATTCATCCTTAGCATCCAAGTCAGGTTTCTACTATATTTTTATATTAATTGAGATATATTTATAATTATTTAATTCAGTTATCTGGCTTGCTGAGTTTTTTATTTTTATTTTGTTGTTTTCTTTTGTACACAATGACAAAAAAAATGACTATACTTCTGTTATCGCGTCTCTTAATTTTCAAAGTTCAGTTGTTCAAAACTAACTTTTTATATACAAAAAAATAATATTTAAGTACCAATGTTATTCAGGTAAAACAGTTGAAATTTAGCAGACATGGAATTTATTTATTTTTTTTCTGGCTTTGAATACATTTAGGTAACAGTGCTGCAGTTCTGACCACTTTCAGTCAGGTTTTCCTGGATCCTATTTAACTTCTGAGAGTATCTAATGACTAACGCAGAATGCTTATCCTGCTAATTTTGGACTTTACCTTTGCTTTCTGCTTTTTGTTGGACCACCACATTCTATGTTGCTGTACTGGGAGCGGGTTTTTTATACCTATATGGCAACATTTTTTTTTCTGGCTACTTATTAGTGCAGACCTCCTAACCCTAACCTCCCTTTGAAGCAGCCCCTTGTTCAATGTTTTGCTTTGGAATGATTGTGTGCTGGAGGGTCTGAATACTTGGATATTGAGAAACTGGAGGCGTGGATTCTTTTGAAGTTTTCATTATAATTGGATCTGATTTTACCCAATTAGCCAGCTAAAAACACACATCTTCTTAATGTCTTCCACTTTTATACAGTGCTTCCATAAAATGTGCTACATGAATAAAATTTTACATCCTTATTTAAAAGACATAAATCATGAAAATGTAAATGTAGCAGGAAGAAGCCTGCCCCAAGATTCAAAACACCTGGCACCTAATCACCTCATGATAATGAGGTGATTATCATGAGGTGATAATGATAATCACCTCATGATAGGTGGTTATCATGAGGTAACCTCCTATCATGAGGTGGTTACCTATCATGGTGAGTATAAACGGAGATTCTCTCACCTGGTTTCTTTATGCTGGCATTTGGTCACACTTTGGTGGGAAAGGTCGCTTGTGTAGCTTGCAGGGCTAATACTCTTACATCAGTAAGTAATGTTTCTCCTTCTGTATCTTCTGTATAAGACCTGTAATTTCAGTGTTTGACTCAAATTGTTTAAATTTAGAAACTGCTTGAAGTCTCCTGCTTGGTCCTGGGGTGTGGCTGCAATTTACCCTCCCCAGTGCAGTTTAACAACAACAAAATAGGTATGTTTTGTTCTTTCGCACCCATGCAGCTCCATAACACAAAAATGACAATTATTTGTATATAGAACATACCAGCAAGCTGATCCTCCCGCTGTTGGGCCGGAAAGGATTCTCTGGTTGCGGTGGAGTCATCCAGCTCTGGTAGGCGACAATGGCTTCCTCTGCCTTCTACCATTGTCTACACATCACCTATTAACCTTTGACTTCATTTGACGTAAAGCTGCTATAGCTCGCTGGAGACCCTGCTGATTTGTTTCATCTGTTCATTTTTTCATTTTTGTAATTGNGATTGTGTGTTCACAAGCGCTTGGGGTGATTTATTTTGATCATTTGTTTTAGGAACCAGTTCCCCATTTGGATTGCCCTCCCCCTGCTGGTAGCCCTCAGTACTGTGCACTTCCCTCCCCATTGTTGTTCCCTATGTTTTGATTGTCGTTTTAAAACGATACAATTATTTTTTGGAAAAGTCTTGTTCTCATTGGTCACGAACCTCGAGTGCCTACTGGCAATCTATTTCCTTGGGTGCAACTCCCAAGGTGGCGTTGTTGACAACA